CTAGTCTACCTAGTAGCTCTGAGGCTGTTGCCAACATTCTTTTTGGCTGACAAACATATTATTAATTTAACTTAACTGTATTTTAACTGTGCTGTCAAGTTGCTTTTAAGTTGAAATATGACAGGAAATGCAGACACACAGTTTTGTCACGTCCATAAAAGTGAATATTTCTATAACATTATAGCCACCATGAAGGTAGGATTTAGAGCAGGGCTGTTGGATAAGAAAATAAAATAGTGGCAATACTGAGAGGTGGTATTTAATTACAACATGATCATTGTTTACAATAACTAGTTCACATGGAATTTTTCCTGAGCACTTTTGTTCTCTATTTAACACAAACACTTTTCACAGACTTGTCAAGGCAGGAAATGCCTAGGTGAAGCTAATACCACTCAAGTTGAGTGTCCCCAGAAGCCTGTATTGAGCCTTTTTCATAGCAGGTGGAATTAATACTGTTAGCCATCTGTTCCATTTAAGTTTATTAGCAAGCCTAATCAGTGAGCCAGCATGCATAGTGACAGCAACCTGGAACTAAAAAGCTACCTTAAGTTCATATTCATATTAATAATTACACCTGTGGTTTTCTTGCCATGTCAAAATGTCTGTTGGGAAAAAAAGGTCTATTAGCAAAACTTATGTGTATACAACCATCTGATACTGATACTGATTTAACTGTTAAGACATGTCAAATAAGTATATAAAACCTAATATTTTAGTGAGTCTACCCCCAATAAAAAATGTGGTTTGGTTATTGTTACTTCACTTGGACTATGCTTACGTCTAATCTGGGTTTAAGACGTGTATGCGGTTTTATGACATCACTAGTTTTGAAACCATTATGGTTCAATATGCAACTTACACAAGTGTGGAAACCTCCAGTGCACATACACTGAGAATGAACTTTTCAGTCAAGTAGGAAACATCTTACATCCACCAGTTTCAACTTTGTGTTGAGAAAATTAAAAATATTTGAATAAGTTTATGGAATTTTTTATATCAGATGAGTATTTTAGCTACATATCTAAAAACATGTCTGAACAGGACCTTTAATGGAAAGAGCAATTTTATTGTTGTATGTTTTTATTTTTCATTTAATATAAATATTGACATGTGGACCAGTTTCAGATTGTCCATACCCTTCCTGTCCAGTGAAAATCATCAGAATTTGGTGATTTTGAGTATTTCTGCCACCACTGCACATATATTACTGGTCTGCAGGGGAGCAGCCTCAATCACGTGATCTCTTAAAGGCGTTGATGCCATCCCGAACCCTTCCTGGACTTCAGAGTCAGCAATCCATAGTTTGTTCCTCGGTAAAACTTGGCGCGCATTAATGCACGGAGTGAGCGCTCTTTCATTTTCTCCTCGCTTTGGACCACTGACCATCTCCTTTCTGTGCCTCTCACTCAGTCCATAAAACAGAACCGCCTCCCTGGCAGTTCCCATGACAACGGAGAAACGATCCCGGCACGTTCCCTGTTGTCTCGCCTGCGTTTCCCGGGAAACTGCTACACAAATCCAAGAAAAACATCCGGAAAAGACCCTCGGTCGTCCTTGTGACCGTCCGAAAGTGGAATAACTGCAGGGCTTGTTCACTCACCAGGACTCCTGGACGATATATTCACAGAAAAAACATGATGACTTCCTCCCTTCCTGTCTTAGACAGCAGCGACCCCCGTCTAAAACTGACGGTGCAAAACAGAATAAGAAACATTTTTGTCACACAGTCGGAAGACACCAGGTAGGCCTGCGCTTTTACTACAGTGGACAGCGTTTTTATTTATAAACCCTTTTTTGTAAATATTTATTTTTTGTCCTTAGGCATAGAAAGGAGGAAGATGTCAACCACATACCTGTTGTAACAGAGGTAAGACAGAATAAGTAAGACGTGATAAAAATAAGTATAAAGTTATTTATTGTCATTTGTGCATTTGGGAAATATGATAATATTAAAATAATAATACAGAAAAGTATATTTTGTTGCCTGTAGGACTCACTTTTTAGGGATCATTCAGTACCTGGAAAGACTTTTAATGTTTATTCAGCTAGTAGTATTCCTATATGTTCAGACTTCTAGCAGAGTCCTCGAGACAGGAGTGAACACTTTGCAAAAGACCCTGGTTCTGAAGAAACAGGCTGAGTTGGACGAGGTGAACAAGCAACTCGCACTCAAACGGCAAGAGTTTAAGAGCTGTGTGGAGGCACTAGCTCAGAGGAGGTCTGAACTGGAGATAAAACAACAGCAGGTGAATTAAAACCTCCCAAAACTACTTGAAATACAATAATGATTAAGGAGTAGGTGTCTATCACTGTCAAATGACGCTGTCCTAATACTAAGACTCTGTTCCCTTTACCCAGACTAAAGAAAGAGCGATAAAATTTGAGAAGTTTGTGGCTGAAAATGAAGTGAAGCGACGTCGGGCGCTGAAGAAGTATGAGGCAGCGCGGGAGCAGAACGTTTTGAAGCAGAGAGAGATAGAAGATCTGACAGAACAGCTGAAACAACTTAGAGCCAGGTGAGAACTTTAAGCCTTAGAGCGAGGATATCACTCCTTTAGTCACCTTTTATGTTTAAGTTTTTCCACATTTCAATTCACAGGCAGCAAGTTTTAAAGGAGAGAATGGCAAAATACAAAATCTATGAGGACTATTTGATGAAAACACTAGATTATCTCCCCACCAGTAAGCTCAAAACCAACCTTTTACATGTTCTGTTTATCCTAATGGGTTAATTACACACTTAGGCTTTAAACTGCACAATATCTTTCAGCTGACCTTGATAACGGGTCCGACTCTTTGGTTATGCCCATCATTCGACGCCATGAGACCCTGTCCATCACCCACCAGGATCTGCTGCAGCGCTTGGAGCGTCTGGAGGAGGAGGTGGAGCAGGGCCAGCGACAACTGCAGACCATGAAACAGCAGCACAGCATAAAGAAACTGGTCAGACATGCACCGATATTATGTAGATGTGTGACAGCGCTTGAATGAACAACCTATTAGAGTCTATTTATGTGTGTTGCAGATGGCCAATAAGGATCTGTCTGAACTCCAGAGTGAGTTGGAAACCCTGAAAGAGAAGAACAAGCAGGCAGAGGTCAACCTGCTGATGCAACAAGGCCTGTCCAGAGAGAAGGTATGCTTTCAAGTTCCAATATGACTCGGAAAGGACCCTTTATCAAATTACATATAGGAGTTCTGGACAGAAATATGTGCCATTATCTCTCAGGTTGAAGAGGTAGGAATCTTGCTTATGGCCATCAACAACCTCGCAGAGCAGTGTTATCTAGCAGCATATGGACCTCTGGAAAACATGGACATCCTGACAATGATGGACATGGTAAAGGTAATATCTTTATAGTTATTATTAGTATTCCCACTAATGATTAAAATTACTTGACCTAACTTTTAACTAACCACAAGTTTTATTTCAGGAGTACATTCTGGACAAGGCAGACACGGAGAAGAGAGCGAGGAGACTGATGGAGTCGGGGTCTGCAATGACTAGTAGAACAGTTCTGACAGACAGAAGAGAGAGGGGATCGATGAAAAGCATTGGCAGTAAAACACAAATCAAAAGTTCAAGTAAAGTCAGTAGGAAGAGCGGGACGACGATGTGATGTAGAAGTTTTACAACTTATTACGTGCGTGTGAGCGTGAATGTTAATTTTTTACCTTGGAGACAGTAGTTTTAACTCTGGAAAAGCTAGTAAATTAACTTTGTGTTAAGATATTTTGTTAAGATTAAGAGTTGTTTAGACTTAAATCTTTGATAAACAGTTTCAGTGTTCATAACTCTTAATGCAAAATGCTATGCACCAAATTTTGCACTTAAACATTTATATAGATTTTGTAAGTAATATAATGTGCAAAGTGAATTTGAGCATCAGAACTTTGCAAATGTGTATCTCTGGAATGTAATCATTGTTGCATTTTAAAATAAAATGATCACAGTCAAATGATGCCGACAGACAGGAAGTAATACCCATCAACACGACTGGTGCAATGGTATGTGATTATTTTCTAATTTAGATGATACCAACAAAATATTTGCAATATACAAATAAGTATTTTAGATGTATTTGTGATATTCTGCATTTTATTGATCAAATATAGTAAATATAATGTGGCAGAGAGCATCTGACTTTGCTGTAGTAAATCCTACCCTATGTTGCAATGCTACTCATCTGTGCAATGTGGTGAAAGCAGTGAAACATGTTTAGCCATACGTTTAAGGGGTTTATTTTGTAGTTTACGTTCCTCGGGATTAAGTAATAATCTGGGTTGTGAGACTGAGAGACAACTCTTTTGGTTGGTGTGAGTGTCCTATAGGATAGTAGTTTACTTTGTCTTTTTTAGCCTCACCTCAATTAAGAGAGAAAGAGCCATCCCTCTAATTTCAGGGCTTCAGACCACCAGATAACAACTTATTGATGACCAGTGGTGGAGAGTAACTAAATACATTTACTCAAGTACTGTACTTCACTTTGAAAGACTCCTTTCCATAGTAAGTTTTATCTATGTTCTACTAATGTTATATACTAATACTCCATTACATTTCAGAGGGAAATATCCACTACAATAATGTGTTAGCTAGTTACTTGTTACATTATTATAACACATAAATATGATGCATCATTTTAAATAAAGCAGTTCAAATTAGCTCCACCTCTGCCAGACACATTAAAATTAGGGTATTATATACTTCTCAAACTCAACTACAATTTGCTGATAATACTTTTTGGGAGATTTTGAATGTGTGAGGTTAAATATAATAACTCTCATACCTGTCTACCTTAACTTACAGTAATGGAAACATGGAGAAAGGTAGTTAACCCATAAGAGGCTAATGGTGGGTTGCCATGTTTTAGTATTATTTTTTTGGGGGGCTTTATTGCCTTTATGGGTTGCCATGTTTTGAGCTAACACGCAGGCTCGACTCCAGCACCGAACAACCCTGTACTGTCCCTTTAACACGAGCACGTGGTACCTGCAAACATCCGGTTTTTTAGAAAATGCAAAGAAAATTGCAACAATGTCGTGACACGCAGTTTGGACGGACGGAGTCTTGACAAACTGTAATTACGTTTTTCTTACAGTTTCCATGTTGAAATGCGAAGGTATGTCGCGTGCGCGGCCCCGTGAAGCTGCGGTTTGGTCTCGCGGATAGTAACGCTGTTTGTTTCTCGACAGATGGAGGCTGCCAGCCTGGTCTCATGCAGAGAGGACATTTCTTCGCTGTTTCCTGAGCAAACGCCTGGTGCCAAATATAAAGTAGGCTTTTTAGTCGGGGTGGGGTGGTGTGCTGAAGGTCGTCGCCACTCTTAACGCATTTTAATCACACCTATTGTCTCTTTGTTAGGATTTAAGCAGCCAGTTTTCCTGGGTGAGACAAGTACGCGGGGATGGGAACTGCTTCTACAGAGCCCTCTGCTACGCACACTTGGAGTCAGTCCTACATAATGCCAGGGCTTTGCAGAGGTCAGTTATTATCATTGCTGCCTTTCGTCCACACTCAAATCACTTCAATTTAAGGTGGCGTTGTCTCATTGATTTCACTTTCAGATTTAAGGAGCGAATTATTCAAACCTGCAAAGACTTTTCTTCTGCGGGATTTGATGAGAGCTCCTTCAAGCGCCACCTGAACACAGTAAATAATGCATTTCCTTTTACAGTCACACCATTTGTTTTAACTTAACAGGTAGCATAAGGTCAGCAAAACACCAATTTCAATAAGCCTGGTAAGTAACATTCTTATCAATAAAATATATGTTCAGATGTAAACGACAATAAGGGAGATTTATTGTTGGGAAGGAACCAACCAGGAATGACTGGCTACAGTGATAAAACAAAGTCACATTATGGGAGAATATGTCAAAGTGGCCTGGGACCTATTTGTAAGATATCTTCAAAATTCCAGTTTGGGCCTTTGAGTAGTTCATCTGATTGTCCGCCACAAAGATAATGTGATTAACATATTCCTATTTAATGCATAAAGTTAAACTTTTCCAATATATGACATTGTCCTTGAATCTACCATTTCTTTAGATTTCCAGTTAGTTCACACTTTTAACTACTGTTTAAAGCACCAATCTATTCTATATATGGGAAAAGAATAAAAATGTGTTGACTAATTACACCTTGAAGGAAGCCAACTGAAATAGGACCCACTGATCTAGCACGCCAAACCCTTGAACTGAATCCTTACATTATTTCTACTATGACCTATGCTCTTGTTGAGATTATTCTGCTACTGGATCTAGCTGCTTATTAAAAAAGGTGCAGTAAAAATAATTGTTTGTGTTCTCTTGAAGGTCGTAAATGTTGTGGAGCAGTGCCAGGCTGATGAGCAGAAAGACCGGCTGCTCCAGCTCTTCAATGAGCAGGGGACCTCTGACAGTGTGGTGCAGTATCTCAGGCTGCTTACTTCTGCACACTTGCAAAACCATGCGGACTTCTTCTGCAACTTTGTGGAGGCGCCCAATCTGCAAGTCTACTGTCATCAAGTTAGTAACAGTGTTGCTGCCATCTAGTGAAAAAATACAAGACCATCTTTTTGTGTCCGTAAATCAGGACCGTCCACTCTCAGGTTTGGTAATGTCTTCATTGTCTTCATTCAGGATGTGGAGACCATGGCAATGGAGTGCGATCATGTGGACATCTTAGCTCTGTCACAGGCCCTGGATATCTGCATCCACATCGTCTCTATGGAGGGCGATGAACAGCAGTTGGCTCACCACGTCATTCCCGAGGGTGCTGAACCCTCCCTGCACCTCCTCTACCAAACGTCACATTATAACATTCTCTACCCACGACCTCAACACTGACCAGTGATCCAGGAGGACTCCGCTCAACTCAGGGATACAGACTTTGGTTGAATAAAATCCCAACTGGGCTTTCAGAGTTATGAAAAGAGATTTTTATAAAATCTTGCAGTGTACAGCGATTAAGAAACATCTGGTAATACATGTTTTGCACATTGTGCAATACGTATTTAACTGAATGGAAATCAATGTATGTAAAAAAAACTACATAAATCTTTTCAAAGATGTACTTTTAAACACACATTGCCATAAACATGTCACTGCTGCTGTTCTTTCTTCTGCTTCTTTGTTTTCTTCTGTGGTGAAACACCTTTCTTTAACTTTTCTTTCTTTAACTTTTCTTTCTTCTCCTCTATTGAAACCCTGGTAAGGGCACTCTCCATCCCTGCTAGAGGCATGTGAGCCAGGGAGAGCTTTCCCATCTGAGTGGGGTATTTGGTCTTTATCGCATTCTTGAATACAGGCTGGGAGATCAAATGCTTCAAATGCTTTTTCATCCCCTTCACCATCTTCTGCTGCTCTCTGTCGTCTTCCTCGTCCTTCGCTCCCCCTGTGGACATATGGTATATTCAGTTGTCTGTATTTAAACATTTTTAAATAAACTCAAGATGTAAGAGAATTTGTGTTACCGATTAAAAGATCATCATCCAGGTCTACATCCAGGGCCTCTGCTGCTTGTTTGAACCAGGAGTTGTGGTGCTTCTCTCTGCAGTTGTGGAACTCAATTTTCTCTATCTGTCTGGCCAAGTTTACCCGCTCCTGTGGAGGAACACACTCAACAATAAACAATCAAACTTAAACTTATTAATGTCACATAAATACAGGACCTAATGCTGGATCTCACCTTGATTGCTTCCATGCATTTGGTCTCTATGGGGAACATGGGGAGCTCTTCGTCCTTCCCAAGAGTCTTGTAAATCTTTTTGAAGTTCATCACGTCGTCCGGGCCTATTAGCAACAAACTGAGACCCTCTTTGGTGGCTCTTGCTGTTCTGCCACTCCGGTGGACGTAAGTCTCAGATGTCCTGGGAACCTGGTTGGTGTTACACTCAATTAGTAGCACCCTTGTTTATATAAAGACAATACTCATTATGTTTGAATATAAAGTAACTGGCTGTCAAAATAATAAATGCTATGGCTAAGCTTACCTGGTAGTGAATAACATGCTCAACATTGGGGATATCCAGTCCTCTTGCTGCTACATCAGTAGTCAGCAGAACACAACTGTGAAGGAAATTCAGAAAAAATGTAGCAGAGGTCACATGCCAAGGAAGGTGCTACTAAACATAATTTTTTTTTAAAGTAACTACTTAAGAATAGAGCTGTGACATCACTTTCTATGACACTGAGCACAGGACTACTGCTTATTACAATCAGTACATCTCAATGTGTTAAACTTCCACTGTGTAAGCTCCAATGTGAATTTTCTTTTTATCAAAATAGCGGCAACGTAAGCACACGTACAGGCAAAGTGCACTCGAGTTGTTTTACCAACCTCCATTTCGAGGAGTGAATCCCTTCTGCACTTTTGGCAGGACTTCTTTTAATATGTGAAACTACTGTGGCTGTAAACTAAATTATAGAACATATTCTGTAAATATGCATTAGGATTAAACTTGATGATGGAAGTAGTTATGGGAAACATAATCCGGGCTGTCTCGTGCACAACAGATAAAAACCCCTTAAGCCCTTATTTGCAGTTAACAGGTTTTTATATTTCATCATAGAACGCAATTAACAGATTAAGTCCCAACCTAAGGCAAATACTTTCAGACAGCTACTGCAAGCGTGGGCAAAACTCACCTCTCCCTCTCGGCAAACCTTTCCAGGTTTTTGAGGCGTTGTTTCTGGTGCATGTTGGCATGAAGAGGCAGTGGAGTATAGTCCAAGATAACCAGCAGGGAGTTCAGTCTCTTGATACAGTCTATACTGTTGGCAAACACCATGGTACGGCCAGGATACTGGAGCAAGAAGTAATAAAGGTAGAAGTCCTTCTCCTCCTTCTGACAGTGGATTCGTGTCTCAGTCAGGGTCTCGACAGTTGCCTCCTTCCTGGTCAGGTCAACGATTTTGGGTTTGGACTTGATCCCTACTTTGTCCATGAGAATTTCCAGCCTGTTCCTCTGGTCCAGATTCTTCTTCTTCTTCTGCAGGAGGCGGGTGGGCAGGTTGTGAGCCATGGTCAGTGTGGCAGAGAACACAAATGTTTGCCTCATGGGATTGAAGTGCACAGTGTTCAGCATCTCCAGCAGACTCTCCAGCTCTGCAAAGTGGCCTCTCTCTACCATGCGATCTGCTTCATCAATGACCAGGCACCTGTAGAACAACAGTAGTTAATAAACGGTAGCACTGAAATCCTACAAACAAGCCTCTGAATGATCTGTATCACAGAAATATTCATCACACTTCTGATATTTCAAATGTTGATTTAGCTTTGGCCTGTTAGACCGCCATCGTCCTTCATTTAAAAAAAAAAAAAAAAAGAGATTAGAATAAAACATGCACTCAATCTAGAAGGAAGTCAGATTCAATAAAAGCAGTCATCACCACTGGTATCTGTTTGGCTTTCAATAAACATGTTGCTGCTGCCTCTGGCCTTTTGTTAAAAAATGATTGCATCAAAAAGCAGTTATGGTCATCCGTCTACTCTTCAAGAACCAAAACCAATAACACTGTTTGTCCAATTGGATGATAAACCAGTACTACAGTTTATTGACTCACACTTTGTATGGTGATGACATGATGTCAGTGTTCTACACAATTCTGTTGTCCAAATTATTGACTCAAAGCATATTGTACTGACAACATTTCTGCCATAGTCTGAGGATGGCTGATCCTCCACTCCGAATTAATTTTTTTCCCTTTTTTGTTGATAGACGGGTGACTAATTAAAGGAAAAAATAGAAATACTAAGAAAGAGTAGGAGTTTTGGGTTGGCGTATCCTTTAAATTGTCACCCAGCTGTATGTACAGTATGTTTTCTGTGTTCAAAATATACAAATAAAATTCTATTATACTGAGTTCTACATGTGTGATGACCTTTGCCTCATATATGTAGTATGCAGTACAGTGGAATGCAGTTTATTATAGTACTAAATATGATAATTATATCATAGATTTTACATACATTTGCCATATCTTGATATCTTAAAAATATTAGTTTCATATTACAATACTGATTTTATCATAACGCTATAAGAAAGAAATGTGGATTGTGACATACCTCAGCTGTCTCAAGTTCAGCAGATGTGGGTGCCTCTCTTTGATCAAGTCCCACAAACGTCCTGGAGTGGCAATAATGATCTCTGGTCTTCGCTTTAGCATCCTTCTTTGTTTCTGTTGTGCCATTCCACCCACCACTATCGCTGTTTTGATGTCTGCACAACAGGGACATCTTGAGTATCATGACGTTGATAATCTCTTTCATTATTTAGAAAAATAGTGTCATAAACCTGTAATGACTTACCTGTGAATTTTGCAACAGCATCAATATGGTGCTTGACCTGAACGGCCAGCTCCCTGGTGGGAGTGAGCACCAGTCCGAGCAGAGGCTGACCCCGATCACCGGCAGATTTGACTTCAGATTCAGCGGTCGGATCAAAATCAAAATCTGCATTTTCAATTACTTGAACACATCTGAGCTTCACATCATCTTCATCTTGTTCATCTTCGCTGTCATGTTCGTCTGTGTCACCTTCATCCTGCTCTGTGATGCATTCGTCCTCTTCTTGCCCAGCCTCCATGTCGTCCTCTTCTACTGTGGATTCAGCTGCGTCTCCTGACTTTGTGGACTCCTCTAGAGCTGGTAGATACAAACTCTGCACCTGTGTGGTTGGTTCAGTACTGTCCTCAACAAGCTTTTCTGAACCGTTCCTCCACTCCAGGATGGTGTGGATCATGGGAATGCCAAAAGCCAATGTCTTCCCGCTTCCTGTAATGACAGTGACTCACATTAGCTTTACTTATGGATTTTGAAGACAGATTGTTGTGGGACAAAAAAAAAGCAAAAGGTATTTTACTTTACCTGTCTCAGCTGCCCCCAGGATATCCATCCGGTCCCTGATAGCTGAAGGCAAAGTCAGGGCTTGAATAGGTGTTGGTGAACCAAATCCAAGACTGCTGAGTGCCTTCAGCACAGGAGAGGGAACGAACAGGTCCTTCCATGCACTCACGTCAGCGTTTTTATCAATAGAGCCAGAAAGTGTTGCATTAGTCCAATTCTTCTGCTGCTTTTTGGGTTGCTTTGTAACTTTATCTTGTGTGGGTTTTTCTTTTTCCAGAGCCTGAAGTTCTGACGGAGACTCCAGGTCCGGCTGTTCTTCTGGGACCTTTTTTATATGCTTCTTCTGTTTCTTTTTCTTCTTTTTGTTGCTCTTCTTTGTGGGTTTTGATTGGGCATCAGGTTCTGAGCTAATGGCTGTATCTTTGGATGTTTCTTCTTTAGCTGTTTCATCTCCTCCCTCCTCACCTGCAGCTACAGCCTTCGCTGTCACTTCTACAGAAGTGTCACCTGGTTGGACTGATTCCTTCGCTGTCAGTTTCTTATTTTTCTTCTTCTTGGCTCTTTTCTTCTCTGGTTCAGCTGTTTTCTCTCCCTCTTCGGTCTCCACGTCTACCTCCTCTCCAGCCTCCTCTCCAGCCTCCTCTCCCTCGGTGGCTTTTCTCTTCTTCGCTTTCTTCTTCTTTGTCGTCTTCTCCCGTTTCAGCTCTTTTGCTGCAGCCTTGTCAGAGTCCACCAGACGGTAACTAGTCAGCTCTTCGAAACACACCAGGCCCTCCATGCCCTCCTCGGAGAAGAGACTGGGATCGAGCTCTACAGCTGCCCAGTTGCCTTTCACATGGATGCTCCGTTTGGCTTTCTTTTGCAGCCCGGAGGACAGACGCTTGTTTTTCAGCTTCATGATCTTTGTCTTCATTTTCCTAAAATTCAATATGTCCAAACACCTCCCTCAAACTGAGTTGTTAAAAGCGGTGGTGTGAAGTTAGCTTGCGGCTAAAGTGCAGAAGTACTTACACTGATAGAGAAAATGCTCGCTGGTTGGCTCTGTAATCCATACACAACTACACAATGACTATAAGCAATGGAAAAGGCGCTACCTTGACTGACTGCGGTTTTTCCAAATGTCAAAATATTATCACGAACGACAACAACCACGCACGACACGAGGGCGCCGCCATGACAGTGTTGATCACGTGGTTTGAAAAACTTTATTTGTCCAGCGACAGCGACAGTGATTTCTTCCTGCAGGAAGGAGGTTTTCTAACGTTGCATGGATATTAGTCATGTTATTTATTCTTCACTCGCAGTTAACAAGTCATTCGTGCTGCTGTTTTTTGGGTCAAATCCTGTATTATTAGAAACACAATCAATATATCTTAAAATCATTTATGTCATTCGTTCAGCGATTATTTTTTAAATAACATTTCTAATCTGACCGAATTTAGTCTTCGAGCTGACACACGTATGTCATACTTCCCCTAATTAAATATTTATAGGTTGAAAGTAATGGCTTTATTAATGATTAAAAAATGTTGCCAGGTTGGTTAAAAGTATGTTCAAGTTTCTGACTTCTTCTACAGATATAAATGTTAATAAGTTATTAATAAATAATAAGCCATCATCTAGTTTGTAAATTGTCTAGATACAATTATAAAGTAATTGGTTTTTACAATAATCCATCACAGATCAAAGGGCAAATAGTCCATTAGAGGAGAATAAACACACCAGCCAGAGAGATTTTTCACAATTAAACTTTTTTATGGCTTATCTATAAAGCATTAGTCATTTTTTTTATAATCCATTAATAAAAGTAATGAGCTACAACTGAAGTGGCACTGATGCATTAATTTACTCACTATATATGAATAGGGATTCAATTACTGTGGCACATGTATATACCAAACAGTATGCTTCTGTCATCAAACTGATCGATTAAATCCAAAAGAAAGGCACACTAATGTCAGTTCTTTATTAATAGGGATAACATAATGGTAGGCCTAGAGAACAGACCAGCACAAGCATTTTAAGGTGAATTTAAGCCTGAAAAAACACAATGTTGTGTGCAAGCACTCAAACAGTACAGTAATGACTGCTACTCTTTGGTAGGGTCAATCAACCTGCCCACGAACAACAGACAGTTTGTGTCTTCGTGGTATATGAAGAAGAAAAATGGTCTGTTGACAATGAAGGTCTTGGGTAAGGAATATGGAGTAATGCCAATGGTTGTGGCGGCTGCTGCAGTGGTCCCGGTCTCGTCCACCTCAATCACAGCCTTGTGCAGCATCTGTGATATTACAGTAGGTACAACATTCATCATCTGCAGAGGTTGGAATATGCAAGTACATTGTGACAGCGTGGTGAAATTCAAAACTAACCTCTGACACTTTGAGGCCTTCTTCCTTACTCAACTTTGTCAGATTGGCTGAATTACTGAAGACACTGGCAACGCCCATATCTGGTAGAAGGCTGTGGAGGGAATATGACTGCTCCATCTTGAATTTGGGCATGTTGACTTCCAGTTTGCTGTAAACAAGATGTGAGTGGCCATGTTTACTAGATTCACTTGTCATGTGTTGGAATTAGATAATATGTATTTGCTTATCTGGGTTGCTTTTTACAGCACCTTTCTAGAGCAGATGTCACAAAGATCTTTGCTATTATAGCTAAAATACAGAAGAATACACATGACAAAATAGGAGAAAAGCTAAAGAAAGACGGGCCTTGTGTAAAACATGACATTTTTATACATAAAAACCTTACGTTTTTTGCAGCTTTTTGATCCAGCTGAGGAACTTCTCAGCAGAAATCTCATCATCAATTACAGTGTAGTCCATGCCTTTGTTGGGTAGCACGATAAGCATGGACACTCCTTCCTGGTATGGCAGCTTCAACACTTTGGCACCAAGAGGAACATCTTCCATCATGTAGAACTTATCCTCTATAAACATCATCGGCACTTGCACAACACTGTAGTTGTCAATGAAGAAGGGTGCATTTTGAGTAAAATTTGAGTTAAAAGGCATCTGCCAGGCTCCTGTGGAAGAAATAATACTGTTTAATTGTGGACACTTTAGGTCAAAGGTCAAAACACAAATGAGAGTCAAAGCACAGTTCTATGAGTGATTCACCTCACCCTGGAAGAAAATTGTGTTGATTAACATGACTCGGGTCATTGTATCCAGGGTGGAAATCATCTTTGTCACTTTGTCCTCGGTCTTGCACTTGATATACTCATTGATGAAGCCGATACTCCCTTTTGTGTCCGCAAAGTCTACTCTTTTGATGTCAGCATCAAAAAACTTCTTGATTTGGTCCTCAAACATTGTCTCCACCTCAAACTGCTGGAGTATAAAGAGAGCCATGCCCTGTTCCAGTTTCAGTGATCCGTTTTGTGTGATGTTGTCATTAAGGAGTTGAAAGAGTTCTGGGATAAGTTGTGGGTGGTCAGCCTGGTCCAGCTGCTCCAGGTTGAGTCCCTTCAGCATTTCTTCGTGTGTGTCACCATCAGAAGCCATTAAGAGAGCAGCAAAGCTGGTAGAGATGCTCAGAGGTGAGAAAAAGATGTTCTTGTCATGGTAGTTGGATATTTTTCTGTAAAGATTCATGGCAAAGTCCATATTTTTGAAGGAAAGATCTGAGATGGTGGCACTTGAAGTGTGTGCTTGGTGGACCGGAGTGAGGAAGCACATGTAGATTATAATGACAATAAATCCCATCTTCATTTTGTGTACCGCCATATTTTGAGTCTGAGAAGGTTTTGGCACACAAACTGAAAAAGGCAGATGTCAAGATTATTAAAAATGTACATCTGAACAGTAACTGGACAACTAACCCATCTCTAAGAAATAAGACAGATTAGATTTTTTCCATATAAGTTACCACCAATACCTTGAATAAATTCAGTTTTGAAATACAATACATAATTGTGACTGAAATAAATTTTCTACAAGATTAACTAACATGTCGTACGTACCATTCAGCTTGAGCAAGATTAAGTCTGAAAGCTCCATCTATTATTTGGGGATACAAAGTGCAAGTGTGCTCTGAGTGTTACATATTAACCATGTGTTGTTCCAAAAGGCATCAGAGCTGTTTTTCAAACATTTGGACCTCTTTCATGTGGTGGTTTTTGTGATGTCACAGGAACCATCAATAACTGCACACTGAATTACAAAAAAATGAGACATGAGAAACTTTAGGAGGAGTGAATGTCACTTTAATCCTGGAACAAGAACTAATACATTAAATGAAAGAATGTGCTATGGTAACGTGAAATATAACAGAAATGATGAGTACTTACTGTCAGAATGTAGTGAGTCAAAGTAATGTAATGATAAAAAACCCAGCTACCAACATTTTACACTCTTTCACAAGTCCATTTTAAATAGAAAAAAAAGCCTAACAGATCCAAAGGAAATGAAAACAATAACGAAATCCTGGAATCTTCCTGAAAGTCATCCAGCACATGAAGTCAAACTTTGCATGAAATCCAACACTTTTGTGGAAGCATCAAGATATACCCATGCTGAACAGTCATCGATTCCAGAAAAAATAATAACTGTAAACAAATGTCACTGTTTTAATGCTGTAATGTGGTAAATTCACTAACATTGTGTGTTGTAACCAGATTTTGGTTTTTAGGACTGAACAGAAGATTGTAGAGGTAAATGAGACAGACTTTACACAAGTTGTGGTCAGAATCAAAAGCAAAAACACCCAAAACAATGAACACATCAAAGCCTATGCACAGTGACACATTTTTGATGTTTTCTCTCTTTGGAGGCAGTTGCCCTTCATTCTCACTATTGTTATTTCTGCAGGTCATCAATCAGCCAATGGCTTTTACCCCATGACAATCTCAGTGCAAATGAATGTACTTTTGTACAACTAATGTGTACAACATTGCTTTAAGTATTGGATTACAGGATTAGCACATCAAATCAGTGCAATTATATAGTATAATAAGTATTTCAGGGGCTGTGACATATGAGAGTAAAACTTTACAATAAATTCCCTATACGGATCATGACAAATACTGATGAAGAGACACAACGGATGAAGTCATATACAAGGTCGGCTGGTTGGACGTGTCAGACTCTTTTTGGTTTTAAGTGATCATACTGTGCTGGAAAAATTAACAAATGTATTTCTCTATCAGCTGCAGCTGCTCATGGTGTTTACAGATTGCTTCTTTGTTCCCCATTACATATCGACGTATTCTGGACAAAATATGAAAAATATGCACCAATCAAAAGTATCTTAGATTCAGCAAATAGCTCTATAGAATTCTTTTGTTCACTGTCCATCCAAAATGGACAAAACACCATTAAATTAAGTGTTTGCAGGCTAATCTTACATTAATCATTATGCATACTCATACACTTAAGGGTAAAAACAAAGCCACAACATAAAAAATGTTGATGTCTAAATACCTTGGGAGTTCACTCTTAGACGCTCACACGTAAAATGATTGATGATGTCAGGAATAAATGATCCACACACGTGTTAGTGCTGCTGGCTAAAAGATATTTCAGTACATTGCAACAAGAAATTATTTCAAAACTACAATTGTGTTCTGGTGGGGAGGGCGTTGGAATAATATCTCATGTCAAACTCAAGTCCACTATAAAGGAAGGAGGCAATTGTCTATCAAATCTGGTCTTAACATTGGTCTCCTATGACATCTCTGTATGTATTCACCCACTCAAGTAAACACACCCTTTGTATGCTGAAGATTCCTCTCCATCTCTTCCAGAGGAAAAAAAACGAGAATAAAAAACAGTATACAATAGAAATAGAAGGCGCCATGGTAAAAAGGCAATTGCAAACTTGGATTAACTGCATCATGAGTTCTGTGGTCACCCTTTCCCCAGCATCAGTGCCTCTGTGAGTTAGATTAGACTAACTGCTGCCTTTTCCTTGTCGTTCTCTATAGCCTGTCAGCGAACTAACCAGGGGAAACGTGTCAGCCTTCTGACTGGCCTTGTGTTCGCATGTGCAAGAGGTTAGAGGAAGGAGCAAAGCTACCCCTGTATGGGGTTGCCAAACCAGGCAGCTGGTAAACAGCATAGGCAAACCCTTCACACCTTCACTGGCTGGGTTTTTCTTGTTGGTCCTCCATAGAGGCAGTGTTTACCGATCCTAGGAGAGGGAACAGGGCTTAGGATAGTATATTTCATGTCTTTCTTGGATAGGTTTGACAAAGTTCATTAACTACATTTATATTCAAAATCAGATCTACTTACCTGAGCCACCTGTCAATTGTGTGTCTGGTTGTTGAGGAATGTTCGACTGAGCTTGTTGCTGCTGCCTAAGAAGTAAACAGAGAGAATCTGCATCAGAAGCCATGCATTCATTTCCAGTAACTGAAAGGGGATGTGGGCAATACCATGAATACATCAAGCAGCTATAAATATGAACACAAAAGCACAACTTATGGCTTCAAAAATAATGTTTATATTAACAGGTGTTGATTTAAGCTCTCCATTTTTAATGAAAAACACAGTTCCTACATAACATTGTATATCCTAAAATTCACAAAGGCAGTGCTTATTGCAAGACTATTTAACTGGACTGCTAGTAAGTGTTTACAATATTGCGTCCACCTCGTGTACAGTATTCACCAGGCACGCAGTTAAACCTACCGATCAAAATAGGCTTGTCTCCTCTTCCGCAGTTCCTCGGCTGTCAGTGTCTCATTCTGGCCTTCTCTTTGTCCTCCTGCAGCACTCCCTGCAACCTGGCTCCCTGATTTCACATTACTCATTTCAGACTCTGATGATTTGTTGCTCATCACTGCTCCTATAGTATTATGAAAAACAAGGGCCCAATATTCAGTATTGAGACAAAGACTCTTAAGATGGATATGGTCCATTGGTAAAGCATAATTAAGTGTGAGTTTACGAAATCAACAGTTTATTTGTAATTAATCTGGACGAAAAAAGGATATATTTTAAAACCCAGACTCTTCCTTTACCTTGCATGCTGAGCTGTATGGCCCTGCGAAGATCAGCTTCTTCATCTTCCACATCTATATCCTGTCTGCTGAGTGCCAGAGCTCTTTTCAGCTCTTCATCTTCATCCACAACCTCATCCTCCACACCAAAGGCCATCTCTGTCTGGGCCAGAGCTGCTGACCTGCTGCTCACAGTACAAGGTTTAATCAGTTGCCACGAGTGAGTCAAAATGTTTATTTTAAAGCAAGTTGAAACATAAACTAAGATGATCCTTTCTGTCTACCTTTCTGAGTCCATATTGTAATGTCTGCACATATAGTACATACCCAGCACTTGTCTGAGCCTCCTCTTCTCCGATAAGTCTTGGCCGCTGCTGCTGCTGCACTCTCATGATCCCAAGGATCTGCTCTGCTTCACACTCAGGGAGATTTCCTCGGATCACAAATATGGAATATCCTGCACAGATTAAACTTTTAGAATATTTTCTGCATTGCAATACCTTAACAAACTATAAGTAAAAGTTAGTTTTACAATACCTTCTTGTTGTAATTGTGCTAAGAAAAGGGCTAGATAGGTGTCTGATATCAACTCTGGTCCAGTCAGCAGTGAATTCAGATTAAACCACTGCAATGAAAACAAAACAGTGTTTTTAGTAACTCAAGCTGTATTAAAATTATGTCTTATGACGACAAGTGACTCATACCTGTTGTCCAAGTTTGCGTATAGTAAACCAGTGCTCCTTGTAGTTGCAAATGAAGGCTTTCTCATTTCTGAAACCGACAGAAAGGATATCTGTCACCTTCAACTAAAACTGTAAAGTAGTGATGTGAATACAGAAATTACAATCTAAAGTCTTGACAAAGAAACTTTACATTGGATTAATCATCAGGCTCTGGTACTCCCGGCTGTTGAAGAGGATTAGCTCCAAACCCCACACTCGCAGAGCATTGCTAATTACCTACAGGAATTAGATGACAGAAAAGGGAATTGTTATTACTGACTTATAATTGTCACTAATCTGTTATTCAAGTAAATCTCCTAAACTTACTTGTATTGAAAAGAACCCGCTGTCATCCATGTTCCCAGACGGTTGCTAAAGACACAGTCACAGAACATTAAGTTATAAACCTTTTGGTAATAGGTCATTTAAACATCATATTATGATTATTTTGACATATATTGGGATATGATTCACAATTAGTTTTGCATCACAAATGTAACTTTCACTGAAAAAAAAAAACAATTTGTTGAGGTCTGTACCAAACAAACATGTTTTGTTATGTGTTGAGAACAAGATTTAGAGCTACAGTACTTCTTTATAATAGACACATTACACCTATGAAAAAAAAAAAACCCTGCAGCTTTTGCGATTTTCATATTGCACTTATATTGATATGTCCATAATACTTTGATTAACCGTGCAGCCCTATTTGGTAATAGCATGCACTGTATAAACATGCTGCTGCACTAAGATTCTCCTTCCATGTCTCCTCACCTGTAAGAAGGTCCTATACTCTTCACTGGCCATCCCTCCTTCAGCCATCCTCATCCTCTCCTCTTCATCAAGTTGATGAGCAATGGAGGACAGATCCACAGGAGTGAAATACTCACCCTGGAGGAGGTTGTTGAGACAGTGCTGGGCGCAAAGAGAGCCCTCTTGCTACAAATAAAGGAATAGTTATTGTTAAGACACCGGCGCAAATGACAAATAGATAAATTAAAGTAAAACATAGTAAGCTTTATGGACATAGAATAAGCTAATTCAACAAATTCACTGATCTGATCACCCCCACGGTAATAGTCAAACACCAGTACAGAGCCACAGAGCTACATACAGCTATTTCACGGACAACTACTCTTAATAGTGCTTTATAAGACCACATAGCTATGGTAAGCCATTTCGTTAACTATAGTGATAAGAAAAACCGTGATTGCGGCTGTTGCAGAGCTTTATGCTTTGTTACTCATAGCGGAAAAGAAACTTTTCATAATCACTGACTAGCAGGCAGCATTAGCATTTTAGCTGTCTGGACAACAATACTGTCAAACACCACCACAAATCTCACACCAGCGCTCAGATAGCGCCGGTAAACACCTCGCCGCCAGGAGCTCCGTGGCTTTCCGAACAAACACCGCCAATTACTTGCAGCTGGATACGCTACTTTAAACGATTTAACTTACTTTCTCATGAAATATGGAATCCATGTTCAGCTTTCTGTCAAACATTCAACTCTGACCTCTAGCCCCGCTGCATTCATCACCATGGAAAGAAAGGACAATCTCGAGCAGCGCCCTCCAGCGGCTGGGCCCTCCTTCACAGCCACATTCATCTCCATTGGCAGGTTTATACATTTATACCTGCGACATCAAAGTCAAAGTCAGCTTTATTGTCAATTACTTCACATGCACCAGACATACAAAGGAATCGAGAGGACGTTTCTCAC